GACAACAGAGTGAGAACAATAGGCTTACGTTTAATCATTTTGGATGGGACTGAAAAGAGACAGTAACTAAATAACTATTTAAAAATAATGTTTCCTTTTTTCTAACGATATTGATATATATTAATATCATGATTTTGTCAACAGATCTTTAAATCTAGATAATAAACGTATAATGTATCGCCAATTACCAATTTATTCCATTCGTATCTTACTAAGAGGAGAATTTCGCTTCGTTACAATATCAAAGGAAGCGGCCGCGTCCTCGGCTATCGATTGCGGTGGAGGAGCCGCGCGGCACGGTGCGCCCGCCGTATCCACAATTTCCAATGAAGCACCAGCGATTCAATATTTACTCTACTTTTTCAACTCTGGCCGACGTCTGATATTTGTCTTTAAACGTTTTCCCTTTCGAGAGGAATGCAAATTGCGAAAATACACAGACTTCCGCAGGCCGCCCCGTCTTAATAGCCGTCATACAATGGCTCAGCGAACGTTAAACTTTTTAACGGACCGGGCGTCCCTTTGGAAGTGTTGAAAATTCTTTACAAATCCGAGCGCTGAGTAATCAGAAGGTAAAATATAAGCAACACAGTACAGCTTTGGGAGTTAAGTAAGTTGGCATAGATATTATTTTGTGGGCTACAGTATGTTCGAGGTGAATGGATTATTTAATAAAAACTTATCGGCGTTCCTTCGACCCGAAAATGGTATCTACCACGGGCGTAATTTAGAGGGCTTTAGGGAAATCACTGTGGCTCTCTGAAACGAAGGCAGGACAAGCAACCAAAATGAATATCAAAAATTAAACTTGAATATTCACTTACGTGTGAAAAAACTTTCAGCATTACAGCAAACGGTTAAGTTTGTTGATGACTCCTTGCGGATAAAACTATTTTCACAAATGGTCCATAAAATACTATAAACTGTTTGTAATAGTCATATGAGTAAAATAAATCTGATTCTAGTTGAAGTCTAGTCCAACCAGTCAGTCGAAGATCTGCAATAAGTTGCAGCTGCTATCTAGTCTTACTCACTCACTATCATAAGTTCATTTTTATGTCTGTTTGTTACCGAGAGATAATCCAACACAACACTGTGTTTATTCGAGCTGCTGATAGTTTTAGATTCACCTTAATTAAGCATTAGACCAGTGAATCGAACAATCCCTGTAGACTGACAGCTCAAGTTCTTTCTCCGTTTTAAATCTATCTTGTTCATAACGAAGTCCTTTAATTTTAACTTATTTTTTATTCTCAGACCCATCCATTGAAAAATAAATTAATTCAATATTAGATTTTCGGCAAACATGTAAATAAAATATTTAAAGAATGTAAACGTGCGAAGGACCCGTGACACACGGGTGGACGGACATCAGAGTGACAGCACCAGGGATTGGTTTGGCCCTCTGGGTTACGTAAAAATCTGATAGCAGAAAACATAGTGAAAATAATCTGAACTAATGTAGAGTTTATAAGCCATATTTGCTTTTAAAGTCGCATCTTAGTCCTTGAACATTTACATTTCTATGTAATTTTTAATGATCTTTCATTCAAAACAATGACCTGTGGAGCTTTTATGTTTTCACTCATTACAGATTTCATTAGAGAGCAGCGTGTTGATAGAGAACATGTTAACAATGATTTCCTTCAATATATTAGAATTATGTATGTATGAGGGTAAGTGGACGCGGCGCTGAGGCGGATTCGATTGAGACGTGTACGTCGGAAGCGCGATGACGCTCTATTGACAGCGGATGACACACGATCAATCAGTCGCCTCGAGCGGCGCGCCAGTGAGCGAGTGTTTAATGTATGGAGATGGCGAGACAGTGATGATGTTATTAAAATAAATTCTCACGGCCACGCGGTACGACGGTAACTATTATATTTATATTATTTACACGTGTAATATTTTCGTATTTAGTTATGCACCTTTCATTTTTTAAAAAGATATAATTTAATAAAACCAGCTATTTAAATTATAAGCTACAAGAGATGCACAAGTATCGCAACGGACCCTTATGTTTGCAAATCCCTATATAGGCAAAAATATTTCTTAGTACTGTTTATAAAATGAATAAACTACAAATAAAATATTATGTTTATCATAGCGAATATACATTAAATATACAAAATATTAGACAAAGACATGGCCGGCTCCACATGGAGCTATCACTTATGGGCGGGAGCTCCTAGATACCAGCTTGAACCCTTCGACTCAGTGCAACGACGAGCTATAAGAATTGTCGATAATCCCAGGCTTGCAAGCGGTATCGAACCCTGAAGTCTCTCTCTCTGCGTGTCTCACACTCTGCGTGTTCTACCGCTTGTACAATGGATTGTGCTCAAAGGAATTATTCAATATGATGCCCACGGCCACTTTCTATCATCGTACGGCTCGCCATCGACAGGGAGTTCACCGTCATACCCTACAACTTAAATAGTTGAGTACAACGCGGTTTTAGAGATGTTTTCTCCCACGAACACTCAGTTTATGGAATTAGCTGCCGAGGTTTTCCCAAGAGACTACAGCATGGGGTTCTTCAAAAGGGAGGTGAAGACGTTACTTCAGGGTCAATAATGCATCTGCGTATTGCAGGCGTTTATAGGCTATAGTAACTGCTTACCATCAGGTGGGTCGTATGCTTGTTTGCCACCTCAGTGACATAAAAAAAACAAAGACGCATCAATTGATTTTAAACTTTCGCTTTGTTGATACATATTTTAAATACACTATCGGGACAATCTGAACTTACCGAGATGCAATTATAGGTGAATAGTACCTCCCTACACATCCTATTTTTATTGCGGACGTTAACACGGCGTGGGGCAATCCACATCGAAACGTCGACAATAAAAATCAGGTACGTAGCTACCATTTTATTTCAATTGCTTCGCGTTGTCCCAGTACTGTATTTAAAATAAAAATATATCATCTTTAAACAATAAACGTTTTATATACCAATTAGTATCACTTTTAAGCTTTCACTTTAAAACTCATAAACTCAAAAGTGAAAAGATACATCTTGAGCTTTCGTATACCTTATTGAAGGTGATTATGTGACATTATCAACAATAATATGCTATCAGTCTCGTTAGTTCGGACACATCATGGTTGCGTTCATAACGAAATAACCTCACGTCACCCTCCATCTTCGAGCCCGATTTCGGAAGCCTTATATGGTTCGAATTGCACGAAATTGCAAGCCGAAGCGTCGAGATTACCGTTTATGGTAGACCCTCAGTAGATACCGGGAATGAGAAATAATTTGTTAGAACAATATTCAAAAAGTACAGTTTTGTTTATAATTACTTATGTTCGCATAATATCCGTACAGACATGGATTTACAATATAAAATCAAGTTTCTGTTAGGTTAAGTTAATGCTTGTCGCCCAAAGCTTGCGCAAATATCTAATTTCCTGTGTTATTGGATTAATTTTAAATGACAAATTAATAAATTGCTTTCAAGTTTTAAGGCAGACGGTTAATTATTGTAACTGTTGGAGATGAAGCGAAATCCTAATAAACACTTTGAAAGTACGGATAATTTGAGCGGAATGGAGCGTCTTCGAGGAACGAGCAAGGGCGCGTTTCGCGCGGCGCGGTCAGTGTATTTGGACACAGTCCCAGATTCATAAATCTTCCTTTTCCTTTCATTTAGGTACTTTTGTATATATATCTACGTCAGATATTATTACTTTAAATTATATAATATTTTAAATTTAGCTAGAAAATGCATGTACCTGATAGTGAAATAAAATATAATAAATCTCATAAAAAGAAAAAAAAAACATGTGTAAACGTATTGTAATAGTTAAATATTTTTATATGTATGTAAGTGTATATTTTAATTCAAATACTGCATTCAAGTTTCTCTTTTTATTTATTTCTCCAAAATTAACTGGACGACAATGTTTTAAGTTTAAGCATTAGTCTAACTGTACATTGTTTAATACGCAATAAATTATATATATATTTTTCTATTCTTTATACATTTAATTCTCCTATAATGCGGGCCATATTTCTTCCTACATCAGCTTCTAATTAATGAAGCTGTAAAAGAAAATTTCATCATCATCACATTAGCCGTTATCTGTTCACCGCTGAACATTGCCATTAGTTGCCAGGCGGGCTGACAACCACAGTTAGGGGGGAAAGGGATTATTGGCAATGGAGTTTAATAGTCCCATTGCTAGCAATTTGCCCTGTTAGGTCGAAATCCACGTGCTTTCCCCTGGAAATCATCGTGAACAATTTTTGTTTAATTTGTCACGAAGGGCTAACTGACCTGCTTCATCCTCACCTATCATCCTTCCCTGGTGCCCCGCCAGTGTATACGAATGATGGCGCGGGTGAGGTTACCGTTCCATTGTCACCCATTAAAAAAGAAAGACAACCACAGTTAAGCTATGGTGACATTATAAGAGAGACGCTGTTGTTCATCCTTCGACCAATAAATTAAGTCGCCTCTTACAACAGCTACGGGAAAAGAAGAGAAGGCCCATTCTATTTCGCAACTACAGAAAGTTATAAGGGATAGATTGACACAAATTATTGATATTCTTTCTATGTTGTTTATTACAATAGCATTTTTTTATAACGCTGCGCAAACGATACTCTACTTTTATATCAACTAGCATTTTATTTTCTTTGTTATTACAAAATGTTTGTTTTTTAAGGTTAAAGCCCTTTGCACAATAAAAGATAATATAACTCCTGGGAGAAATAAGAGTGAACATCTACAACTAAGTCTGCCGATACGAAACACAAAATATAAATTGCCAATCTGTTCGTAGGTATTTGTTCTCTGATCATTTTTATTATTATTTGCTAGTTTCAAATATTAAAATTTCTTATCTACTTCATATTATATATAGTACATATTATGTTGCTCAAAGTTCAGGTACAATTTATCTGCAACAAGATAACGTTATCGGTTTGTTTACAATGATAAACGAGAATAAAGTAAATGTGAAATTCATAACAAACATGTTAATATGTGCGTTAGTATTGCATTGTGAATGAAATAGTGCGCACGTATTCAACATGTTGCGGAAAGTGTTCGTGGTGGGGGTCGGTATGACGAAGTTTGCTAAGCCGGGCACCGTGGGCGACTATCCTGACTTTGCGAAGCAAGCAGTAGAGGAGGCGCTAACGGACGCCGGTATCGAGTATAATGTGATACAGCAGGCGGTGTGCGCATATGCCGCTGGAGATTCCACCAGCGGACAACGGGTGCTCTACCAGATCGGAATGACTGGCATTCCCATTTACAATGTCAACAATAATTGCTCCACAGGTTCTAGTGGACTATTTCTGGCTAAACAATTGATTGAAGGGGGAATCATAGATGTTGCGCTAGTACTAGGCTTTGAGAAAATGGCGTCGGGAGCGCTTAAAGGATCTCGGTTTCCCGATAGAGCTGCAGCTACTGGTGTGCATCAAGCCACAATGAGGGAATTGACAGAGGTAACGCCTGGTCCCCTAACACCGCAATATTTTGGTAACGCCGGTATAGAGCATATGAAGAAATATGGCACGACCGAGGTACATTTTGCTAAAATAGCAGCAAAAAATCATAGACACGGCGCAAAGAATCCGAGAGCCCAGAGTACAAGGGCATATACAGTTGAAGAAGTATTAAGTTCTAGAAAGATTTACGGACCACTCACCAAGCTGCAATGCTGCCCGACCAGTGATGGAGCGGGGGCCGCCATACTTATGTCCGAAGATGCAGTTATCCGCAACGAGCTCCAACACAAAGCTGTCGAAATAATTGGCATGGAAATGGCGACGGATACACCGAGTACTTTTCAAGAGAAGAGTTTTATGAAACTGGCTGGTTACGACATGACTCGTTTGGCTTCTTTACGCCTCTACGCAAAGACTGGCATTACTCCGAAGCAAATTGATGTAGTCGAGCTCCACGACTGTTTTTCTTGCAACGAACTGATCACTTATGAAAGTTTGCAATTATGTGGAGAAGGGGAAGCTGGTAAATTCATCGACTCGGGAGCCAATACTTATGGTGGTCAGGTGGTCGTGAACCCGAGTGGAGGATTAATTGCAAAAGGGCATCCGCTGGGAGCTACTGGTTTGGCGCAGTGTGCTGAGCTGTGTTGGCAGTTACGTGGGGAGGCTGGTGCTAGACAAGTAAGTACATAATTCATTAAAGCTAATAGCATGTCAATACATTACTCTTACAAAAATTATATTCAAATATTAATACATTTACTATTGTAATCTTTTGGAGGAAACAATAAAGAATATCTATCTATCTAACTAAATAAGAGCCACACTGTACTACTAGCTAGGATAATCGACTCTCACTAGATAAGACGTTTATTATTTAATTTTTATTAAAATAAATATTTTATGAAAATTTAGTCAATAAACGTTTGGAGGCTCGATTCAGAACATTCAGATCCGGATCAATATAGGAAAGTTCGTTTTCTGAATTACGTTAATAGAAAGTGAAACCCAATACCTTATTTACGCAAATCATCATGTAGGAAAAGGATTACGTATTGTAACAAAGAACTATAAATAACTTACAAATACAACAGACACACGTGTATAAATATAATGGGACGGATTTATAGCTGAGAGAAATCTTTACAAAGCAACCTCATGATAACGGATATAATTACGGGCTTGATAAGAATGTAGATAAAAAAATTCTACGAATCTCAAGCCATCAACGACATCAAATGGAATTAAACATGTTCTATTCTTATGTACCAAATAAATTTCTCTCAACCGAGTACTGACGAAAGGACGGTAATGTGTTTTAACTTTATTAGGTGAATACCATGTTTGTGTTATGTATTACTTATATTTAACACTCATTAAGTATGTTTGAATATGTATGAAATGGATCTTAGACAAAACAAAATAAGTATCTATAATTTGTTAAGTAGAAATATGTAAACACAGCTCTGCTTTATAATAGAAGGTAAAATTGAAGGAAGGAGGGGAAGAGGGAGGCAAGGCATAATTACATTAGGCAGATCTAGGAAGAAATTGGTGTCGTTTCGTATCAAGAGTTGAAGAGACTCGCTGAAAATCGTAGTAAGTGGCAAGAGCTCTACCGATAAGAGAGCAGCACTTAAATAGGATAGATAAAATCAAAATTATTGATTGATTTATTTATTTATTTAATTCTTTATTGTGCACACTAGTTTTGAGAATAAGACAGAGGTAATCAAAATACAAGGGCGAGCTTAACTCTGATAGAGTTTTCTTCCAGCAAATCCAAATATTGATATGGTAATATTTCGCAGTAATCAAACCAGCATTCCCCGTTAACTGTTAAGTGTACTGATAATAATGTTAATCAATATGTTTCAGGTGGAGGATGCCCGCATCGCGTTGCAGCATAACCTGGGGCTGGGGGGGGCAGTCGTGGTGGCGTTATATAGGAAAGGCTTCCCCAACCATACGATGCTTTCGAAGCTCTAAATGCCTCGAGTATACGAGTATTTTAGCAGAAAGAAAGAGAATTTCGTGTAATTGTTAGACAATATTAAAATTAGTTGTCGACCTGAGTTTTGTTGGCACTCGGATTGGTGGGTTTAACCCTGCTTCCATTTTTTTAATCGCACAATAATTAAGTATTAAAATATTTCTTTTTATATTTTAGTATATTTGTGTAATGATTTACATGTATACGTAAAAATTAATTAACCATTTCTCATATTTTTATAGTCATTAGAACTAAAAGTTAAATAAAGAATATTAATAAATAATTTTGTTTGGACAGTTAATCCGAAAAATTTACGTTTGTAACCATATTTAGTAATATTCAATTCAGACCATAATACCTATTATTTATTATTGCCTTAACTACGTTGATACGGTATTGCTAAATTTTTCTGTTAAAAAAATTGCAAAAAAATGAATCGATTTCTAATATTTCATTGACTAGTAACCGATTATTCAAAATGAACTAAAACATTTACATATTTATTTATTTACACTTTGTTGCACCTTTTAAAAATAAAAATACAGTGAATTTTAATGATAAATGACACAAAAGGCGGCCTTATCGCTAAGCAATATCTTCCAGACAACCTTTGGGTAGAGGACATTGAGAAAAAAGACTAAAGATAAGTGGCGCACTATTGTATTTATAGACACTAATATATACAAACATTACTTAAACATTACTTAAACATACTTAATAGCACACATACAACAGGAGAGAAAGAATGATGGAGCAATATGAAGAAAGAATGCAGGAAAATAGTAATATAGGAAAAGATAGTAGGACCTAATAGAGGTTTTGAAGCTAGTGAATGTTTGAACGCATCCAATAGAGGCAGGTAGTAAGATATATACATAGATAATGTAACAATATTTGCAACTACTTACATTTTTTTATACGACTTAGAATGGCAAACAAGCTGACGGCCCACCTGATGGAACGTGGTAACCGTCGCCTATACACATGAGCAGTACCATGCACATAACAGAGTATACTGTTTCGCCCATGATACCCCCCATGCGTTGCCATTCTTGAGGACTCAGTTGTTATTCCTCTGTATCCTGTAAATTCACGCCATATCCCACCCTTCAAACCGAAACACAGCCATGCAAACACAACTGTTTTACGGTTGAAACAAAAATTGGACAGAGGTACCCAAGCAAACGACTTTTGTACAAAGTCTCCCTCTGGTAGAAATGATTTACAAAGTTTCAAATATGTTTTTACCATGTAACCTTAAAGATCCAGTGACAGTTTAATAAGTATCGTATCGTGTAATTAATGTTTTAGTTCACTATTACAGTTGTTTTTATAGTCATTTAGAAATATTGAACATTGTTTTTAATTGGAAGGATAATTCGGGCGCTGCAAGATTTTGTCATGCCATAATCTAGCTAACACTTTTATCACCCACAGAGCATCACGAGATTCGACACTTTTGTGCAATTTGGGACGACCCAGTCTTAACTATTTCTACTATAACAACAGTACCTGCGTAATCTGAAAGGCAAGAAAGGCTCAGTAATTGATACAAGAGGCGTGATTTCCTAGTTCTTAGTGAATAGTTGAACGATCGACGGGTAGCGTGGGTGGCACAATATATTCTGTGACGTGTGTGGTGTTGGGCACGTCGTGTCCTGTGGCGGTGCTGTTCATATCATGTTGTCAAGTATCATAATATTAATGGCACTTGTTACTTCTCATCATGTGAACCGTCAACTACATCACCATTATTAAGTGTCTAATGAAAAAGATACCTTTATTATCACTGCATATAATATTTTAGTGATACATTTACAAAACTAGAATTTGGGCTTAATTAAACATTTTATAACTGATGATTCGGCCAATAAATATTATTTGGTTTCTAATTACTCGCATTACCTAGTACCTGTATTGAAAAATTATCTGAGGGCCGGTCAGATACAAGAATTGCTTCATCTTCACACTTAGTATCATAGTGGCTAATGATTGCTCTCCTCTTCAAAGTTCCCTGATATATAAGTTGTGTATAGACAGGCGACTATAACTGCGAGAGTGCTGGCACCTCTGTAGACAAGACATCGCGCCTGTTATGTCAGAGATAGCGCTGGCTATCTTGCAAGCCCAGTCACGCCGCACTGATCAATAACACAAATATAATAAATACTAATAATTGAAGATTGTATACATATAAGGATAATTTCTGAATACCTTACCTGCATATATTCTGGGTTGTGGATACCTACTTAATCGGTTCCAAAACTCTTTTAATTTTTTAATTTAGAAATATTTAGATACATAGATAAATACTCTTTATTGTTCCCACCAAAAGATTACAATAGTAAATTTTATATAAATCTAAACAATTTTAAGAAATAATCACAATGCGAAAACAATGGGCGACCTTATCGCTAAAATCGATCTCTTCCAGGCAACCTTTGGATGGAGAGGAGTAATTATAAACAGTTTGATCAGAGGCACGATGAAAGTCTATTATTTCTTAACATAGAGATATGTTATATTTACTACGCGGTTACCATCCCTCAATAACACAAAAGAAACATTGTATACAGAGTCATCGGCGGCGACATCTCTGTCTCATGTTTCGCCACCAAAACAATGATGCTTAAATGCTTGTTATCGGTTTTAAAGATGTGTTATAACCTAATATTTATATTAAAAGTAAATATTTAAAAGCATATAAATAAATGTGAAATGAAAGGGACTAGGAACGGCGTAGAAACATCAATGCATGAGCGGTGAATGTAACGGTGTCCTCATCGCTGTTCAAGGTATGATTGTGTTCATGAATTAATTATTAGAATAAATTAGAAATATTTAGAATTAATTATAAGGATAAATTAGAAACTTTTTTATTATCATAATATATGTGTATCGTAATTTAGTGATAAAATAAAGATAAAAGTATGTATGTCAGAGTGGGCAATTTTATTATCTGTTTAACAACTGCTTGCAATAATAAAACTGAGATAACAGTAGTCGTCTGGGGGCGTCTATAGCTGTTGGTTTACGACGCTGATTAAAAAAGACTTACTCGTACACATTTGCTAAATGTTAAACATTATGTACTTGCAAAATATTTTTGTAATTGTCAGCTTATTTAAACAACACTTGGCTGTGGACTAGAGATCGTAAAATCGAGTCCTAATCTAATTCACTGAATATTTTATTTATTCGATTACTATTATTTATTACTGGCATATTTTGTGAGGTTGGCAGTGTTGCCAACCTCAAAAAAGTAAAAAACAATAGTTTATCAATAAAAAAACAGGGGAAAACAGTAACGGTTAACTTTACTGTTTAAAGGCAGATTTCATACTTTACTCATGTAGTTAAAACAATAATTAATTTTCTTAGTTACCAGGACTCACATACATTGTTATAATAATAATCACAATATAATTAAAAAAGTCCAAGTAAAATTATTTTTCACGTTCATTCTCAATTGCCTCATCCTCAGTATTTTCATACTCATTTTCCTTTTTTAAATCTTACATATTTTTGTTAAATTTTTTCATGTCTCTTTCCGTGGCTTCAAATGAGTAGCAATCGGTTATTTCTAATTTAGTATATAATACCCCTTTAATAGTCGATATTCTGTTACGTGATTTGGTTTTCATAATATTTATAGCTGAAAATAAGCCTTTCACGGCGGCGCTGCTATGTGGTAGGCACAAAAGTTTCTTAACCAATTCACACAATATGTCAAATGTTTCCGGATAATATCGGCAATTTTATTTCGATCAAAAGATAAATTGTCATTTCTTAACATTTGCCATTTTTTATCTGGTTCCGATTTGCATAGTGTAATAGATGGAGCTGAATGTAATTGAAAAACAGTAAAAATTAAAACTGAAACATAAAACAGGGGCATCAATGTGAAAACAGCATATCTACTGTTAAAACAGTAGGGTTGGTAACACTGGATGTTGGGGAGAAGGGATTGTTAGTAATGGGGTCTAATGAACCCATTGATAGCAATATACTATCAGGTCGACCTCCACGTGGTTCAACAATGGTGGTGGTTGAACAATTCTTGTTGAATTCGTCACAATGGGCTAACTGACCTGCTTCATCCTCACCTATCATCCTTCACTGGTGCCCCGCCAGTGTATATCGAAAGCGCGGGCGGGGTTACCATTCCATTATCACCCATTAAAAAAAAAACACTGGTTGTTGGTGACCTTATTCATATTATAAAACGACGGCTTTCATTTTTTATCAGTTACACTATCAGTCTAGGCATTAAGTAGTACTGAAAATATAATTTTCTTTAAGGAATACGAATGATTAAAATTTGATAAAAGTATTGTATATATAAATATAATTGTTATATAAACGCTAAAGGTTGCATTACTCATAATAAAATTACGAGTATAAAAAACACGTTTCGTTCACGAGCACATTAGTGGTTAGATGTAATAGACGCAGTACGCACACATCTCTACCGACTTGAAAAAGCAGGACGTTCTCAACTAAACAAATTTTGTGTGTCAGTTCTGATCTAAAGGACTTTGTTGTGTATTAGTCTTAAAATTAGTATAATTTTGTAAAGATCAAAGGCAGTATTTTGTAGACACAACGTTATATTAATTATTTACTGACTTAGAAAATGACGCGGAGTGTGTACGTCGTCGGAGTTGGTGTGACAAAATTTGCAAAGCCGGGCACGATAGGAGACTATCCGGAATTCGGGAAGCAGGCGGTGCAGGAGGCGCTTGTGGATGCCGGCGTCGAGTATGCGGTGGTGCAGCAGGCGGTGTGCGCGTACATCGCCGGCGACTCCACCAGCGGGCAGCGCGTGCTGTACCAGGTCGGCATGACCGGCATCCCCATCTACAATATCAACAATGGCGGCGCCACGGGGGGCAGCGGGCTTTATCTCGCGAAACAACTCGTGGAAGGAGGCATTATTGATGTAGCCCTTGTACTGGGTTTTGAGAAAATGAGTTTCGGTGCACTAAAAACCGCTACCCTCACTGACAGGGCGTCGCCTTACGATATACACGTGGAAAAAGTTCTAGGTTTATTAAAAGACGCGCAACCTGGTGTACCGATGACCGCACTCGCTTTCGGCAACGCCGGAATAGAACACATGAAGAAATATGGAACTACTGAGTTACATTTTGCTAAAATAGCAGCTAAAAACTACAGGCATGCATCGAAAAATCCGAAAGCGTATAACTCCAGAGAATGTACAGTTGAAGAGATACTAAGTTCTAGGAAAATTCACGGACCGCTCACTAAACTCCAGTGCTGTCCGACGAACGATGGCGCATCGGCAGCTATTCTCATGTCCCACGATGCCGTCGTACGTTACGGTCTCCAACGCAAAGCGGTTGAAATAATTGGCATGGAAATGGCGACAGACACACCAGACGTATTTGAAAATCCAACTTTCATGAAAATAACAGGGACAGATATGACTCGGCTGGCGGCTACGCGACTTTACAAGAAGACAGGAATTTCTCCAAAGCAAATCGACGTAGTAGAGCTTCACGATTGCTTTTCTTGCAATGAGCTGATCTCGTACGAGCTCTTACAATTGTGTGAGGAGGGCCAAGGTGGTAAATTCGTCGATGCTGGAGCTAATACTTACGGTGGGCAAGTGGTGGTAAACCCAAGTGGAGGACTGATCGCTAAAGGGCATCCATTGTCAGCTACAGGTGTGGCGCAGTGCGCTGAACTCTGCTGGCAGTTGCGTGGAGAAGCCGGTGATAGACAAGTAAGTAGTAGTGACTCTTCTCTAGATATTTTTATACGACTAGCAAGGGCAAATAAACTACATAATCGTCGCTTTTAAATATGAATAGGGTATTATACAGTGCCGTCTACAGTATCACACAGTGCCGTCTACAGTATCACACAGTGCCGTCTACAGTATCACACAGTGCCGTCTACGGTATCCTTCATAAACTATGCTGTTATACTTCTGTATATAATAATTTCACAATTATATTTCACCTTTCAACCTAAATAGCCACGAAATCATATTTGATTAGTAGTAGAAACACGAGCGAGACAGAGCTAACAATGCACACAATTGTGTACATGTAGATATAAAATAAAGTACCACTCCTTCATACTTTTAAATTGTGAAATTAAATGTATTATATTTTTACTCTCTATCTACTAAAATGGTATATTGTTATTATTGCATGGTTGTGTTTCGGTTTAAAGGATGGGATATGGCAGTGAATTTACAAGGTACAGAGGAATAACATACTCCTCAGAAATGGCAATGTATGGGGTATCATGGGTGAAAGAGTATACTCTGTTATGCCCATGGTACTGCTTTTGTCTATAGGTGAGGGTTACCACTTTCGATCAGGTGGGCCGTCAGCTTGTTTGCCATTCTAAGTTGCATATAATAAAAATGTTACGGAGACCTAACACCTTGGTCTTTAGGAATAACAATGCATAAGGTGGACTGTTCGTGTCACAGTGTTGATGACACATCATAATATAATATAATGTCAGTCAATTGAGTATGGTCCCGGCATAGAATAGGCCACCCCTTCCTTTCCCGCGGATGACGTAAGAGTCGACCAAGGGAGAGCGAGGGATGGGCAGCAACGTCCCTCTTAAAAAGTGTCTAAAGCCTGACTGCGGTTGTCAATTACAAAACCTTTCAAGGGGGAGGTTTATGTTCTGCAGTAAACGGTAAAGGGCTGGTATGATGATGACGATGATGATGATGTATTATGCCTGTAATTCATTATTTTTAGTATACATTTTTATTTTATAACATAATTTTTTATACCACTGAGGTGGCAAACAAGCATACGGCCCACCTGATGGTAAGAGGTTACCGTAGCCTATGAACGCCTGCAATACCAGAGGTATTACGCGCGCGTTGCAGAAACCTCTTTACCCCCATTTTGATGAACTTTACTTATTATTACTTATTTTTTAGGCAACAGAACGTGCACGTTTTGACAAATCTATTCAGAATTTTCTACTTCCATAATGTAATTTGTACCGCTCTTATAAAGTTGATGTAAGGCAATTAATATTACAGTAATGATACTATGACATTACCATGAATATAATTATTGTGTTGGTACAGAAAAACCTCAATTATAATTAATTAAAGCGACACAAAGTCCAATAAGTTTTAATAACTTGACGGTGACCGTAACACCTGGTGCGGCCCCACGATGCACTGACATAATACACAATTATCAAAAGGTCACGACAATTGTAATAATTTAGATCACTTTATGTATAGTAACCGTACTGCTAATCAATGTAGGTAAATAACTTACGGATATACGGAAGGGCATACACGTAGTTGAAAATACACTGGAATTATTACATATTTCTTATAATAAACTGTGACTAAAGCGCCGTACTCGATCCTGAAGTTTCCGGATATTTAGTGATAACAATAAGTCCATTATTTTCCCGTCATCCAGTTGTATACATATGTGTTTAATCATTAAATGTTGAAGGGTCTTAAAAATTAAGCGCAAATTTCGCTTTTCCCTTGCTGTAGTTCACCATTCAGGAGTAGTAATACAACATTGTATGTCCCCCATCATCACAGCGGAAATAGCAGCCATATAGTATTTGATTGATATTCGAATACTGCATATACATACATATATAAGTAAATTATATTAGTAATATCTCACAACGTTTTCTGTTCCGGTGGGAACAACATACATTTACTTCAAAATTTCATATATGTACATAATTGTTCCAGGTGAAAGGTGCGCGGATCGGTTTGCAGCATAACCTGGGGCTGGGAGGTGCTGCTGTCGTGGCACTGTACCGGAAAGGCTTCGCCGACCACTCCGTGCAAGCCAAACTTTAACTGTCGCACTGGTCGACACTGTCACTTGTTGATACGGGTGGAGGAAACGGACATAGCAACAGGCAAATACAATTATTATTTGGCACACGAATAAAAAATATTATATAAAAATATAACTACTATGATCCAGGGGCGTTTTTTATGGCAGTCTATGGAGGAGGCCTCAGCAGTGGACAGATAATGGCTGAAACGATGATAATTACTACATATAGAATAGAACGGAATAGAGTAGAATAGAGTAGAGTAGAATAGAATAGAAATAATATTTATTCTAATAAATTTGTTTACAAGCTTTTTTAAATCATCAATTTTTCATGATTGAGCTACTGGGTTCCGGGTGTTGTTACCTACTGAGAAGAACTCGCAAGAAACTCGACAATTACTCTTTTCAAATCATTACATTTTACATTTGCATGGGCACTGTGACTGTTATAAGAATTATGACTTATTTATATGTATTATTAAATGGACATAAACGAGCAAATATGAGGCAATTCCCATAAGCAGCACCCGTTCACGAGTACGACCCATGAGCCAGCCATGTTTGCGATCAACCATATTTTAGGGAATTCAACGAAACTGAACTATCACGCCGCCACCAGTCGGAACCTTATAATAAGTATGACTAGCTCAATGACTAGCCATGTTACTACATTCATATATTCACATTATTGCACGTATTATATCTCTATATGTATTTAAAAAAGAATAGAGTATCATGACTCCAAACTATTTATAATTACTTTTCTCTATCCATAGGTTGCCTGAAAGTAATCGCTCTTAGCGATAAGGTCGCCCACTTTTTTTTATAATTATTTATTTTGAACAAAAACATCGATTACAATATTATTGAAAAACGATGTAGATAAATACATAGATACATAATGATTATTATTTTTTATTTGACTCTTTATTGCACTAGAAACATAAAAATATACAATGACAATTGAACATTTAAGTGAAATACAATAGCATAAAATATATACATAAGGGTACAAAAAGCGATTTTATCGCTTTGGGCAACGCCTATATCAGGGATGGCCGACTTGAGTAGACTCAAGATAGTGTTTACTGACGAAACCCTGTGCGATCTTCCAATTACATATTTCTTGAAATCACAAATGAAACAACATAGTTTAGTACACAATTATTAAGTATTTTTAATTTTATTAAGAGGGAAAACATAAAACTGAAAATAATTCTTTGTAACTACTTATTTATATTAGTGTGAGCATTGCGTCTGAGAATCTTCCGCTAGATTAGCAAAATATTATATTTTTTGCCTTGCCGCAATAAACTGGACTAATAACGCGTCCAGCTGTTCGTGTGGAAAGTACTATGGCATTCTCGTCATTGTTTATTTATTTATTTATTTATATTTATTAGCATGCCACGTGGTACTAATTGGTTATTATAATAAGTAAGTACATAAGACACGTGACACCCCGTAGCGGCACCGCATCGTAACATACAGAGAGAACCATCCACTTTTGATGACAGTTAAAATCACATATTATTATTTATTTTTATTAAGAAAAATGAATTCTTTTGTGGAAAAAATGATAGTTTTCTTCTTTTAAAAGATATTAATGCAAAAGATTTCAATTTTACCCCGTATGCATTACATGTTACATAAAGAAGCAAAATTGGTAATGTGGTCAGGGAGCGAGGCGGCGCGCGGGATATTTCCCGAGAGAACGCGCACTCTTATCAACTTCAATCTTAACAGCTTATTGAATATATATATATCTAGTCCTGCGACCCACTCCCCCCGCCGTCCTTTCGTCTGCACTTCACCACAGATCGTGGTTCAGAGTTGTCTTTCATTTTCGAAGTCAAAGACTCAAACTATCTACACCTAACTTATAAAACCTATTTTTATAAACAGAGCAGAGGCCAATCTCTGCGATTTACGATCTACATTTGCATATAATTAAATATGAGTGTGTTGATTTCTATTATTATTTAAGCCGTTGAACTTGTTCAATATAATAATAATTTATTGCACGAACCATTTATGTAACTTATTGTGATACAAAAAAAGAATAGTTTGATAAAAGGCTCTGAGCTCAAATTTCTGCAGTCAATCATAGCGTTGTGCCATAATGAAGAACTCGTACCTAGTACAAATTTATAAGGAGTTATGGAGTTCTGTTAAATTGAATGGAGTGATCTTGTTTAAGAATATTTAATGAAAACTGAACACACAAAGTATATAAATGCATAAACATTGTGTGTCCATTTTGTACAGTAGCAAATTCCATTTATATTTATGGCTGTGTGAACTGGATGGTGGGCTGCGTTGCGAGTGTGCCGAGTCGTGACGAGCGGTAGAGCTGTATGTGGCACGTCCCAAACTCAGTTTATTAAGGAGTTGTTCTCGTTTACATTCCAAATGAGCTATTCTCGTCCCAGACGCGACCGGCTTGATGCACGATAGCAATACAAGCAGGCGTCTCTTTGTTCTCACTGCACCATACTATGTTTAATTAAACTGATGCATTGCGGGCCGTGCTAGATTAAATGCAAAGAAAAACGTGACTACAATTTATAAAATTATGTTTAATTCTTAATGATTTTAAATTTATAATTGAGCTAGCTAACGCTATAAACATTGTCTTCCCCCCTACTGTCACCTACTAGATTGTTTTTATCTGAATAAAATGGCTTTTATAGGATAGCTCCTATCTCTCAAACTGGATCTAACAATATTTCATTAAAATCAGTTAAGTTGATTTGGAGATAGGTGTCAACAAACATCGGGATACTGAATTTTTATATATTAAGTCTAAGTATAGCTGGAACTTTATTTTTGTGACCGGGATACATTGATGATCAGGATAAAAAATTGGCTTATCATGTTTGTTTTATCCCGAATGCTACGTAAAAAAGTAAACAGGTATGTTTATTTTAAAAATTATTTAAACGTCAGGATTTCTAGTGTCAGTCGATAACTAAAATAACACTGGCTGTGTACTGCACTGCAAATAACAAATACAGCTACGGATACAGTTTATTTATGAAGCTCAGAGTTTTTGATTCTCTAAAATCGGCAAAGATTTAGAAATGAGCGGTTCTACAAAAAATAATACAAATAATTTTTATGCTATACTTCGGTATCCTGTAATTTCAAGGCCTTATCGCACTATACAAAGTGAAAGATAGTATATGAAAAGTGGTACAGCCATGCACAGCTGCTTGTCGGCAGACGCAAAAGTTTATTCCAGATATCGAGGCCCATCTTTGAGATAGTACAGGTGGGCTCAGTATTCAAACCATAGCAACAATGAGGTTTCATCAAATTATGTATTCCACTCCCAACTAACAATGGCAAATGATGGCCCAAGTGTTTATTTACCAAGTTTACGAAGCCCACGTAAAGTTTGTACACACCTACGAGTACCTCGGGCCCGTGCATAGTGAGCGCTAGTCGGCGCGGCGCGGCGCCGCGCTGCGACGTTCCGTGCCGCGGCATTTAATAGGGATTGTAATGGTTAATTAGGTGCGATACATTAAGATAATACTCCAAGTTAATAGCGGAATAGTTTGTGTAAGGAAGTTAGTTATGAGAATGTGCCCGCAGATACGGAAAGTACTGCAGTTGAATGTTAATTCCATTACCCTGTAAATATATACTAATTATAATATAGTGATTCGGCATTGATTAGACCATACATTAATAGATCAATCGATCAGGAACATACATTATACATATATTTGAACCTTTACAGGTTTGTATAAGGATTTTATTGTAGGTATGTAAAACTAGAAATAAGGAATTAAAGATTTCGCTTAATAGTATACTTCGGGAAAGCTTATGTCCAGCAATGGATTACAATAAGCTGATAATGATGATATAGAAGTCCCATTTAGAAGGTATGTGGATGTAAATTTTTATTTTCAAATTATACAAATTCAAATTTAACCCATAATCAATATCATTGAAGAATATTAGATAAAAAATTGTCACAATATTGTACACCGCTCTACCCGCTGACATTGATGCTTCTTTCCACTTTGAGTTTGCTGGAAGAAAACTCTCTTGGAGTTAAGCTCGTCTTTGTACATTTAATTACTCTGTCTCTGTCATATTTTAATAAATAACTGGTGTGTACAATAATGAATTAAATACGTAAATAATCTTTATAAAATACTTGATGTCGCGAGCAATAATTGAGCATTCAAGTCGCGCGGCGTGACGTGGCCGCCGCATGCCGAGCCTGCTGGCTCGCCGGCTCGCCTTCGATCAGCTAAGAATGTACTATTACATTTTTACATGTGAAATACCGCCCTTACTGGGTACTAATTCGGCAGCTATATTAAAACTTGATCAGCAGACTCCATTCTATTTATGTGTATATATATTATAAGACATTCATCAATTACGAGTGTGACTTTTGAATTGGCTGTACTTATAGTGGCTGGTCTGACATAATTGTAACTTGTCATGTACATAACATTTCATAATTGTAACTCGTCATTCATGCAGAATATCATAATCGCATATCATAAAAGGAAGGGCGAGGGGTGAGCAACAACGTCCCTCTTAAAACATCTCTAATGTCCGGAAACGGTTGTCAATCCGCCTGCCAAGTGTGGCAACTTCTGGCAAACCCCCTCAAGGAGGAGGCTTATGTCCAGCAGTGGACAGTTAAGGGCTGATATGTGAATGATTATGATGACCATAATTGCATCTAGCTATGTAGACGCCGAGCAATTTGCAGTGTGCCATAATCAAAACTCATCTATGTATATATTCAATACGTCATAATCGTAACTTGTCTGATAGCTGTTCTCTGATCGTTTATAATAAAACTAGATGACTCGGTAAACGTTGTTTTACCAAATACATTATTTCGAAAACTATACATGAAAATTTCTCGTACTACAATTATTATATTCGATTGCCATCTTGAAACCCTATTGCGCAATATAAAAATCGTGCTTAAAAAACAGGGGTTGATCGTAAAAGGGTGAAAATTTTTAAGTTGTATGTATTTTCAATGATAAATCTTTAAATAAAAATAAAAAAATAAAAAAAAATTTTTAGGGGTGGGTCACCCTTATCATTGAGGGGTATAAAAAATAGATGTTGGCCGATTCTCAGACCTACCGAATTTGCACACAAAATTTCATATAAAATTGGTAAAGCCGTTTCGGAGGAGTTTGGTAACAAATACCGTGACATGAGAATTTTATATATTAGATATTGCAAAATGTATTTTTTTAGTTTTATTATTTCTATTAACGAATAATATATCTGCTCACTTACTTTTTATTTTTTTTACATTTTGTAAAGGT